AGTTTGTTTAATATGCAATTCGAAGCTATTAGTGCAGTTTTCTTCCATATGCCAATCAACCAATTAAAATGGATGTTATACCTCAAACATACAATCTATTAACCAATCAGATMGCATGTTSTATCAACATTACARCCTGCCAATCAGAATATACCAACCAATCATCTTCTGTGTTGTAATCACCACAAGGCATCCAATCCCATTATGAGTCAACAGGTAACGATGGAATGCTTTTGTCATAGTRATTAACTATGCTTTTGTGAGATGTTCCTACCACATTTTTTCTTTCTAAAGACAATCGCCGAAATTGAGGTTTGAATAGAATGATGAAAGCAACWGCTACAACAACAGCAGTGATAGTCATGAAATACATTGAATARGTCAAATCCTGGATATTTGAACCTTGTGCGTCYCTTTTACGACATTTTGCATGTGGCAGCTCCTCTCTGGTTTTAGACTGGGCTAGTGCTTGACAGATGACGATCATTATAATACCTGACGATTGGCTGTTTAAAGATAAGAAGTCCACAAGTTACATTACAGTTTTTGAGTATCACTGAGAAACGTTTGTTGATGATGTCAAATCCTTTAGAATTTTCCCTTTTACAGTTCTCATGGTTGTGCTGCCTTTGTTCTCAACATCATCTTGAAATTCAGCTACTGTTTTTGCATCAAAAATGCGAGACAGTGGCAGAGTTTACCAAAAAAAAACAACATCACTGAATGTTGTTGACCATGGTCCTTTGATGCAAAGTCTACCTTTCAAGATGGTGCCGAAAGCTGTGCATTTATTACAGTACAACTTAGCATAGTTTGAAAGGCATTGTGCATGCTCACCCCATCATCCATTGCAAACCAGCACTTGTTGCTTCAGCAACTGGGTATGTACACTCAACACCCAGCTCAAGACACACTGGCATTAATGCAAATGCAAAAAATCCAAACATGCCAGATGATATCACAACTGCAGTTGGATGGTTTGGATACTTGGTGATCTAAAACAATAGAAAACATTGAACAAATTAACAGATGAGATAAATGTTGAAAAAGTCACTTGAAAATCAAGAAGGATAACCATAATTTGCAGGGGCTTCAATTTGCATTAATTATTGCTCTTTACCACACAAGTGTTATTTATATGACATGCACTGTAATTAATGCAAACCTACCAAGGTTAAGATTATGCAAGCAATGGCTGCCATTCCATAWGACACTTTTGCTGTCAGCTCAAATTCTTTGCTTCTGTCAACATACCATCCAGTAACAGCACCACCTAACAGTCCWCCACCAATGAGAACTGCCCCAGCAATGCCAGCCATTGTCTAGAAAAGATAAGATATTGTTTCRAGTAGAGTGACCATTTTTAGCTGTCAATGAATTATGGTAGGGATTCACATTACAATGACCAAGTATCTTGAAGTATGCTTCTTCGTTGAGCTTCGAGAATGTGATTATTAGCACCTAGGAGCGGGTAAAAATGGAATTACACAGGCTAGAAGACTATTGAATTTTGAGGAGCACTTACATCATTATATCCATGTGGACATATCACTTGTTCAAACAGAGTTGACAAGCAGGAGAATAATCCAATACCACAGCCAAAGGCAATCATTAATACAAGGTAAGACCTATTAGTGAGGACCTTTTAACAAATAAAACAGTTACGATCAGAAAAATGACAGTCTTCTTCAGGCTGATGGTGGAAATGTCTGCTATAAACTAGATAAATGGTTTCTTCTGCAGTTCCCTGTATCATCTTGAAAAGTCACACCATARGTTTGCTTTAGGAGCAAGATGACTGATGGGTGTGCAGTTATAAAACCTTCTTTGGTCCTCCTGGTACATTTATAGCCTTAGTGTCAGGATCTCTCGAAGGGAAAGTGAAGCTCTGCCCCAATACWGATTCTCAGCCTAGTACCTTRAAAGAACATCACAATTGCACCACTTGAAACTTACTGTCTTGAGTCCCAAGAAGAAAGGTTCAGATTTACAAGCAGCTGATGCCGAGGGAGGGGTAGGTGGGGCACTACTACAAAATCCAAATGTTGCCATGGCAATGCCAAGAAATCCTGGAATTGCAAATATCTCTASCTTGAAAAGAATATTACAAAAATATGTTAATAATATGTCAACGCAGTTTCCATCAAATCATTTCTTAATTTTATACAGTTCTTACAAAATGCAGTTGACTTTAGTAGCTGCTTACCATGAGTGGTATTCTGCTTTCGTGGGTTACAATGACTGGTGCGATGGCATTAGCTACTAATACTCCTAGTGGATTAGCTATATAAAAATAAACATTTAATAATAAATATTATTATTAATAATAAATAATGATAAGATCAGTGAATCAATAACAGTCCAGATAAAAGCCACAAGCAATAGTCGATTTCTATTAATCAAGAAAAGAGTTTTCCTCTTACTCCTAGTTGGTTTAAAAGTAATTTCAACGAATTTGATTGACTGCAGCCTATGACCAATTGAATGCTGTGACTTTAATCTGGGTAGTCACACAGCATTGTCACTTACACAAAGATGCCAGCATATTTGCAGTTGTTCTTTCATTGGCACCAAACCACAAAGCTGCTAGTTTAGTTGGTGAATTCAATACAAATGGCTGAGCAAGAGAGGAAAGTACTTGGCCTATCATTACTACAGTAAACTTGTATGATGTATGGACGAATGACAATCCACTAAGAATTCGAACAGCTGCACCGACACCATTCAGCCAAGCACCCACAAGAACCTGAAATTCGGGAGAAAATGTTTCTTTTTCTTATTTAACTGATGACTTTCAAAAATGATGTTAGGCCATGGCTGACAATAGTCTCCTTCACAGTTATGTGCACCATCTTGAAAGGTAGTCATGCCTTTACATCAAAGCAAGACAATCATTGAGCGTGCAATGATAGATACCTTTGAATAATTATCTGTAGGTGTGAAAGAAGGTTTCTATCATTGCACGCACAATGTTTGTCTCGCTTTGATGCAAAGGAATGGCTACCTTTCAAGATGGCCAGGGAACTGTGAACAAGACTTACTGAGTGAGAATTGACAGAACAAGGTCARATAGTGGATCATTTTTCAAAAATATTGCATAATTAGTTAACTGATTGTTAATTAATATTAATTTGAAAGAGTAAATGAATGGCATACCCCAGTCCTGAGTCCAAGCGTATCCAGTACCCAAGATGCACAAATAGCAAAAAGAAAACACACAACAAGAAATACAATAGACAACCAATTAATATAACTTAATGAACAATTGTAATAAACTGAAGAGTAGTCTGCGACTGGAGCAAATGAAATCCATATCTGAAAACAATTAGAAGTTAGATATAAAACATCTTGTAT